TCCTCTTCCTAACCTTTGTCTCTGCTTTGCTCTGGCTGAAATTCTCTGGAACTTTCATACTTCAGTTCCCACCGCAGCAGGGCAGTTTTTAGGTGCTTTCTATATCAACTAGCTTCCTTTTCTGGCTGCATTAACGCACCTTTTTAGAGCGCAGTGACCTCCGTTTGTCGTTCTCTTGGGAATGCATCCTCCGTCCTAGTAGAAAACTAATCTACTAGTCTAATCTGAAATCCGTCTGTCACTGATTTAGGGCAGGCGTGAGGTTTTCCTCTCTCCGGCCTTTCCGCCCCCCGCCGTCTATCTCAAATTCTCAGCTGTAGGCCACTGAAAACACACCGTGTAACGCCTCTTCCTGTGTCTTCCTCCTCTTAAGAGTTCCCCCCGAGATGCTGCAAGTGGCGCTTTGAATCACCTGGAATATGTAAGACCTCATCACACCCCTGGCACGGTCACAAAACAGCTGAGCAGAGCGTGAGGCAGGAGCCGGTCAAATGTCCGAGGGGGCCGGAGCCGCCGCTCCTGTTTGAGCTTTAAAGGAATGCAGGAGGCAGTTTAGGGCTTTCCTGCCACGCTCTTGTGGCACAAATGAAAGGGTTATGACTTTGATACTTTTAAGACTACAAGAAACTGTCCTTTTTATCAGTGTGCAGATGATCTGATGTTTAGAGTGAATTTCGATGGCACAGACTGTGAAACGTAAGCGGTTCTGATAGATCCACGGAGAGAAAAAAAGCAGCTCTTTGCAGAAACTTGAGCAGGAATCGCTGGGTAACCGTGATATGACCCTTTCTTTGATGGTTACATCAGGCGCTTTTGGTCTGAGCGACTGCTACAAAGATGAGATCCTTTTTTTCCAGGAAGCTTTTATGCAAGTTGTAACTCAAATTAACCCCACTGACTAACTTTGCTTCAGTGTCCAGGCTTTTGTGTTTCTCTCCTGGCTATGTTTTTTTTATGCTGGAAGCCCATCACACACGGTATCCTGTTATTTAATGTAAATTGCGGGGGGACGATTCAGAGCAGGTCTAATGAGTTAAATTACAGCGTATGGTTTCAGCGTGCCCGTAAGTGCAGCCAGCCAATGTGATTTGAAGATAATGAATACCTGGACGTATACACGCCCCTCCGCTTTGCCAAGCAGCAGCCCCACAGTGCAGGTTTGTGTGCAGCCCTCCCAGAGGCCTCCCCCCCTCCACAATGCCACATTCACCAGTCAGGCGCGACATAACTGGAGCCGACAGCGGGCAAAGTCGCTCCGGCCCTGGAGGAGGCGGGGCCACGGCCCTGACCGGACTCCCTTTTTTGCCTCGCCTCCGTCTGTAGGAGGAGGTGGGCCGAGGGGGGTCGCTCCTCACACACACACACACACCGTCTGAGCTTTAGCGCACGCAGTGGGTCGCCCAGGTGGGAGCGGTCAGGCCTCAGAGGACTTAAAGCCACCTTTTCTTCTCTCCCGCCCCCCAGGTACTGGAAGAGATCTCCTGCTACCCAGAGAAACACGAAGCTAAAGAACTCAGGCGGATACTGACGCAGCCTCATTTCATGGTGAGTCAAAAGACAGAGACGCACAGGCCGGGCTGATAAGGAGGGTGCAGGAGGCCCTCTGACTAACACCGCCGAGCGGCGGGTGCAGCACTCTGCGGGCCTCAGCTGCAGATCACACCAACACGCGATTGGCATCTACCCTGTGCTGTTGTTTCCTCTGGCTGAGCTCAGCGTTTAGAGCTCTGAAGGTTTTGGCACATCAGGGTAAAGCGTCCAATCCCGTTAAGTTAAGGGAAACACATTTTCTGAGTTCAGGTAAAGAGCGTATTGCTATCCTTTAAGGCCTCCGATTTGCTCCCAAACAAGCTGCTCAGAAGCAGAAAATCAGGAAAAGCGCGTCGTTCAAAAAGGAGACCAGAAATCAGGAGAAATGTAGGAGAGAGAGAGCAGAGGTCGTCGGGCCGCGTCTGACGTGACGGGCAGTGTCGGGTCAGAGGCCCGGCGTCGTCCAGCCGCTTCCAGAACATAAGCCGACGTGCTCTGCATTCCAGCGAGTTCACGCCAACACGGCGAGCAGGTTTCTGGGTTCGAGTCTCCGCACCAGTCTTAAGGAAAACATAAGATCATAAGATTTGATGTTTTTTCAGCTCAATTTCGGGGGTTGGATTCCTGCTGGGAGGCGGCAAAAGATCTCAAAGAGGAATTTATTAGCTTTGGGAGCAGGTTTTTCTCCAACACCGCGTGATGCTCGCTGACCCGTAAAGCAGCCCCGTTAGGCAAACGCATGATTCCTGTGGTGAAACGGACATGGTGACCAGTTTACAGATCGATCCCTTTGTTATGTTATTTCCCTCAGTGGTTTAAGAGCACTGACGTTGATAAGATCAGATTAAACGTCTGAGGTTTTTTACGTGGTTCGACTGTGAGATTAACCAGCAGCGTGAGTGATGTCACTCTTTTTTTTTTGTTTTTATTCCACTGGAAATGTGTGACGTCTCAGGGGGGAAATCCAACGCTTAGACTTTTTCTTTTGTTAAATCGAGGCAAAATACTGGATCTGAGCAATTTCACATCTGTTTTTTCCCTCAGAGTGCCTGGTTTCTGTCTACCTGACTGAAACCATCGGAACAAGACGTGCTTCGCTTTTTAATTTTCATTAAAGCCCCCCCCGCACACACACACAAACAGCTCAGAGCTCTAACAAACAGAGAGCAATGCATCCAGTCTAGTCTGAGATTGTTAATCCAACAATTGGACTAAAAAGGACCAAGTATGGGTAATAACTGAAATTTACATCAACAAAATCCCAAAATCAGCATATCCAATGTTTACTTCCTCAAATCTGATACTAAAGTCCCTCAAATGTGATGCTGTCTCCTGCGGCCTGACCACAAAGTGGACATTTTAAGAATACAAGCGGAACATCTTGGTTTTTAAGTTCACATTTATCGTGTAAACACCGAGTCTCATTTTCAGTTCAGCTGAGTATTAAGAATTATTCCAGGCTCTCCTTAACTTTTTTTTCTCCCTGCCACCACAGGCGCTGCTGCAGGCCCACGACGTGGTCGCCCACGAGGTTTACAGTGACGAGGCCCTGCGGGTCACCCCCCCGCCCACCTCGCCCTACCTGAACGGGGACTCCCCAGAGAGCGCCAACGGGGACATGGACCTGGAGAACGTCACCCGAGTGCGTCTGGTCCAGTTCCAAAAGAACACAGACGAGCCCATGGTACGACCCCCCCTTCACAGTACCAAATACAAGTATTTTCCACGTCAGAGGCAGCAATAACAAAGCGGCTTGTGGCCTTTTCCGCAGGGCATCACGCTCAAGATGAACGACTCCAACCACTGCATCGTTGCCCGGATAATGCACGGAGGAATGATCCACAGACAAGGTATCCGCTCAGTGGTCCCCAAAGCACACTTCACAGGAAAAGAGCACTCACAGAAAGAATAAGATCAGGATTTTTTCAGTTATTTGTCCAGTTAGATGGACACACTGGTTTCTAACTGTAGCTCCACTTCACCTTCTAATGTCTCTTGAGCTCATAGCGAGGTCTGGCTCTCTGTGGTGTGTCTGCTTTCTACAGATTACAATTCTATTTAGAATATTAATGATTTGTTTTTTCCTTAGCTTTACAAAAGCACAGAGAGCCTCTTTCATTTTACATCCGTTCATTTAATGGATATTCCCTGTAAAGGAGATTTTATTTGTCCATGATAAATTCCCCTCCATTGTAAGCAGTTAGAAATGCGCTTCAAAATGAGGAAAAACTCTTTCTTTTTAGGACCTGTTTGAGTTTTTGAACATTTGAGGAAGTAGGACATTATGCTGAGATCTAAGTTTTTTAGGATGTCTTCTTGTTGTTTTATTTATGGAAATTACCATCCTCTTTAACAGTATTCACATATTCAACTCATATTACCCTCAAGGTTGTATTTCCACTGTGTTTTTAGTTTTTATTTGCCTAAATACTCAGAAAGCATTTCAGTTCTTTTTACATGAACAGTTATATTCTCTTCACTGAGTGAACAAACATGGCACGTCAAACTTTTGATCATGAGGGCAGAAGCCAGTTAATTAACTCTAATCGGGTAGTAATTGACGAGACTAAAGTTGAACCTCTCCTTTCCTTTCAGGCACGCTGCACGTAGGAGATGAAATCAGGGAAATCAACGGCATCAGCGTGGCCAACCAGACGGTCGAGCAGCTGCAGAAGATGCTGGTAAATTTACTCTGCCGGCGTGATTTTAAGCTGATTCTCACTTTTCTATAAGTAGAAGATGGTGGATGGAGGGAAGTAAAGAGTCCCAAAGGCAGCAAAGTCTCTGCAGGCTGACTTGTGTAAATTACTGACCGTATTACCACGACAGCATCCGAATCTGGTGATCAATCACAAATATCCTAAGCACATTAAAGACTAGCCTTGGGAGGAGAAAAAGCCACCGTTGTGCTCGCGTGGGTTTTCAGACTCACAGTAATGTGCGTTGTTTGTGTGTGTGTATCCACAGAGGGAGATGCGAGGCAGCATCACCTTTAAGATCGTACCCAGTTACCGGGCGCAGGGCTCCTCGTGCGAGGTAACGCCTCCTCTTTTTTCTCTGCAGTGCTGACTGTGAGTTCCCGATCTGGTCACTAACTGCTCGCCCGGTTACCGCGCGCGTGTGCGTAACCTCAGTGATGGCGTGGGTGTGCGGCGTGTGTGTGAGTGTGTGTTTTGCTGGGTCAGATGTTCAGCACACCAATTTTACAACCAAGATACCGGAACTCTCCTCGGCCCCACCTCTCCCGCCTCCCTCTCTGGCCCGGGAAGGAGACACACCTGAACACACACACACACACACAGAGGGGTGGACAAAATAACAGAAAACCTTTATCTGCGCAGCATCCTGTTGAGCTCAGAGCTGTTTTACACTATAAAACCTTTAGTTCTAATGTTTAAATGAATTATAAGTTGAATTCCAGATGGGATACTCAGGTCACAGAACCATCAGATACATTTTTCCACATAAGGTGATGCCAGTCTTTTATTTACCGTCTTAAACCCCTCACTTGTAGGATCTCCTGCTCTGGTGAAATGAGCTAACATTCCACCAGAAAAATAAGAATTAATTTATAGAAAAATCTGATAAAGTCGAATTGGGATAGATTGATGTTGAGTCGTGCTTCGTTTCAGGGGCGTTGCAGCCCAGTTTTCCTCATCATAAATCTTCAGAAACCTGTGCAGCGTTTCCAGAGTTAAAAGACTCTTCAGACACAGCGGCAGCATTCTGCCAATCGTTGTCACGACAACACTGATGGAGGTCACCATGGTAATGACTACGGGGCAACACGGCGGCCCCTATCAGAGCTCCTGCGCACCTGTTATTCTGCCCATCCAGATTTTCAGTAGCTTTGTATGCCCAACACTTTCATTCAAATAGACGCCCGTGTTTCTTGAAAGCACTGGGCTATCCAAGGGAGGACAAGTCCAGAAAGAAGATAGAAACCCTGAAAGCTGAGCAGAAAGTTAAAAAAGAGCCCCATTTCAAAGGCATAAGTCAGGGTAAAAAAAGCAAACCACTTCCATGTTTTACCTTTTATTATGGTAAAACGTTAAACCCTCTTTCTGTGAATTGCTTTGGATAAAAGCGTCTGCTAAATGCATACATGTAAATGTAAATCTTAGTTTAGTTAAGAATAAAAGTGAGGTTTACTTTTCTTGATGATTTTTTGCAGAGAACTTGACCTCCCCTTAATTTCTCAGTCTCAGTTGAACAGTTAAGCTCTGATTTCAGCCCTTTTGATCATTCTTTGGTCTTTGAGCTGTGGCGGTTTGGGTTAGTGAGGACAGACGAGAGGGTTATGTCAGTGTGGCGCCCCCCCGTGGCGATGCGAGGACACGCGGGCAAGGGGGCCACGAGTGATGCCGTCTGCCACGTTTTGTTGACGCATTTCATTACGTCAACGCTGTGGTGGGTCTCTATTGTGTCTGCAAATAAACCTTTTTCCATCGCCTGCAGTCGTTGCCCAGAAATGCGTGTGTGTTTGTGCGTGCGGGTGTGTGTGTGTGTGTGTGTGTGCTGCTGACCTGTGTGTCTTATTTCAGAAAGAGTCCCCCAACACCTCCAGGCAGTCCCCTGCCAATGGCCACTCCAGCATTAACAGTTCTATCTTGGTAAGGACCCCCAGCTACCCCCAGACAGACCCCCCCCCCCTTATTTTTCACGTTGTGTGTCGTGGTCCCTCTACATTTCCGTGCGTCCCACCACCCGCTTCCCCCGTGCCGCGTTTTTTATTTGCGTTTCCCCCTGAGCTGCGAGTGTTTCAGTAGAGGTGAGGTCAGATCCGGGCCACCCCCTCACCCCCGTTAGGGCCCACCCCACCCCCATCGTGTCCGATATCTCAGTTACCAAATTGGTGTGCCTCAGAGAGCCTGAGCTTGGCGCCGGACAGAGGCCGGACAGAGGCCGGAGAGCTTTGGCTGCTTTGGCTTGGCTCTGTGCTCGCTTGGTTGCTTCACGGCCAGATCTACTTAAACGGGAGGAGAGCTTCTCTCTTCTCCTCTCCGCTGTGTTCTCTGTCTCTCTCTTCTGTTTTCATTCCTTTATTTTTTTGCCTGTTTCTGTAAATCGATTCGAAATTGGATGGGCATGCGCATGTGCTGTTAAAAACCGTGTTGACTGATGAAGTCTTGTCTCTCTGTAATGACTGGTTCGCCTCCACAGGACCTGCCGTCCACCATCCAGCCCAAGGGTCGACAGGTAACCGCTCACACTCCTCACACTCCCCCGGCGCAGCGCTCACATCCCTCCTCTCACTCAGAAATGTGTGTCCTGGCTCCCGGCCAACCCCATTTTCTGCTTCAAGAACTCATTAGAGTATTAGATTAACATAAGACAAGTCACTCGATTGGATTACTCGCGATGTGACCAAACCCAACAAATGAAGTTCTAACGGGAGCTGTGAGCACACTCGGGCTCTGATGAATGATCCTCCTCTGTGGTAAAGGGCTCTCCTGTTGTCCAAAAAACCTAATGGAAATACATCCGTGGGCCAAACAAATGCTCCGCGACAGGTTTGGTGATTACAGAATAAACCAAGGCCTAGGTCAGTGACAGCCTGTATTTGTCACGCTGATCAGAACTAGTGTCCAGGTTTTTGTTACAATAAAATGTAGCTCTAAAGGTCAGAAAACCCAGGTGGCAAAAAACGAAGCTCAGATTTTCTTCGTTTTTCCCCATCATAACGTCCCACGTCAGCTTGACAGCTCTCATTTCCTAACTTGTCTCTACCGCCCCCCCCCTGACAAAGTGTCTCCTCTCCCTTATCAGCTCTCATGGTGATTTGGCTGTTCTCCTCTTTTTTTTGCTTTTGTAGCAAATCGAGATACAAACAAACGAGAACTTAGGAGAGATTTATCATTTTGACTGCAAAACACCAAAACTCCATCTTTAAATCTCACGGGAAAGATTCCCTTTCAGGCAAACTAGCAAGTCTGAATAGTGTGTATCCACAAGAAGTATTAAACTAATGTTGGGGGAAAAAACTTCATTGTATAATATAATCGGTTTAAATGACGGAGACCCTCGTCTCTTTGGTGAAATGGGAGTTTTGGCCTTCAGGTTAAGAACCTGGACACATGGAGATCTTTTTTCAGTTTGCTCTTTTCATGAGGTTTACTGACAGCATGAAAGCTGTTGGAAAAAAAAACTTCCACATCCTTTAAATGCTTAAATACGCCGCAGATGTTCACCCCCCGTCTGACCCCTCGAGGGGCCGGCGCAGCCTGAATCACACTTCTTTTGAGGAAATAATTCCTGGAGGAAAAGGATCATTCGTGGTGTCTGTGCAGCACACATCTTTGTGGTTCCTCTCCTTCTTTTTCTGTTCTCTGTAACGCACACATCTGCCCTGGCTCAACGACTCCCATCAGAAGTCCAGTGTTTTGCCTCCAATCAGACGGAAAATTCCCCACACCGCCGACATCTTTCTCGACTCTGATATTTTCTAATCATTATCTGCATGTGTTTAAGGTGAAATTACCCCAAATACGTGCTTCACCTCTTTAGCAGAAAGCTTGGTAACAATGGCACAGGCATTGTTAACCCCCTTAACGCAGATCCCAAGTCGGATGTGAGGCCCTCCGATTACCCGGAGCAACACTCCTGTTAGAAGAGAAGCTGTCTGCGTTAACAGACCCCCCTCCCCCTCTTTTCCCAGTGGTCATACATGCGTACCCTTCCCGACACAAACATCTTTCACCTCCTTTGACATAATCCAGCCGTTTACACGTTCCGCATAACGAGGTCTCCTCTGAGTGGCCAGCAGGGGGCAGTAAACCATAGCCTCTGTGTCACTTACATTCATGTCTGAACAGTCCCTGTCTGACTGCCATAACCACACACAACAACCCCCCCCCCCCCCCCCCCCCCCCCCCCCCCGCCACACACACACAGACGTGACACAGCTGGTTTGCTGCATGACGTGTGTGATGCTTTCAAATCCTAGATTGTATCCGGACCTTCAATCAAGGAAAAAATGTCTGTTAAGGTAAGAGACAGCCTTCTTAACCCCCCCCCTTCCCCCCCTAGATAGATAAACAAAAGACACAGCGCCCTCCTCGGAGCTTATTCCCCCGAGATATTTTCACACCAACAAGCACGAGCAGAAATAAATCTCAGGCGGAATAAGAAACCAGCTCCTGTGAGTGGTAAACAATGCCTGTGCTGTAATTACCAGTGTGCACAGAAACTCGTTAATCGCCCAGAGGTGTTTAGGGTTTATCTCCCTTTAGAATACTGGAAACCAGTTTCCAAAGCAGAAAAAAAAAACCCTCGTGACGTGGCCCCACGCTGACGAATCCTTTCCCTCCTTACTTTAGTGCTAACCGTCAGAGACAGTTGTCTCTCTCTTCCTCTCACCC